CATGTGCAGCATGTTGATGTGTAAATCCAAGTTTCATAATACACAGTTTGTTTGTAATAAAGACCCACTTTCTAATCCCTGAAGCAAAGTACCAAAGTTTGGACAAATGGACTGTAAGTGAAGTATAAAATTACCTTGTAAAACACAAAACAAAGGCTTGCACCTATCAACCAAAAGCAACAGAGGGCTGTTGATGTGTCGAGAATGATATAACCTGTGAATTCTACTGTAGAATAAAGAGAGATGACATTTTAGGTGTTGTATAAATCAAAGTAGGCAAGGCCATAGATGTAGAACAGTGTGCTGCTTATCTCAACTTAGTAATGCTGCTATAAAAACAAACCCACATTTGTCAGTGAGAGAGACACTTGTATGTGGTTTTGGTACTCCTGGAATAATTGCCATGTAGTAGTTTGGATTTCTGCTCTGAAATTACACACCAGCCCAGTCTTGCACAGGAATTAAATGATTGCCTAATACAGTGATGTGAGCTTAGCTGAAACCTGACAGATATTCCTGATCCAAATATGCCAGGATAAGAGTTTAATCTATTCAAACTGCACTGCAGGTGGCCTTGCAGTGTGTCATCTGCGTATCAGAATATTTAAAACCATAAATAGTTGCAGAGATTTCTCTGTGCTTCAGTTTTTTAGGGAGTTTGTGCAGCTGTACTCAGGACTGCTCTTATTCTAGCCATTATCCTCAAGTTTTGAATGCTTATCTCAGGAACTCCTGTTTTTCTTGGCTCTGGGCTTTCAGACCACCTGCAGGGATTCAGGTTTAGTCTCTGGTACACAGATTACATAAACAAGAATTACTTCAGATTCAGCAGTATACACCACCACTCCTCTACAGGTAACAGGCAAACAGTTACAAGGTAACAGCAGTTAGCTGTACTCTTGATCACTCTGGAGTTCTTACTGTGCCTTATTTCATACACTCTGCACTGTATTTTTGTTACTCTGTAAACCCAAATATTTGTTTGTTGTTCTTTGCCAGGGTGAAGATTTTTAATATTGTTGCGTCTTCTGATGTTCTTTGTTACTATCATTTCTTCTGTATGTGTCATCACACTCATCTCCTGAGCCATTTCTAAATTTGGAATGTGATTGTTTTTCACAGATACATGTGATGGTTTTGCCTTCTGATGTTTGGTTTAACTTGTAGTGCATGTTTAAATTTGTCCCTCTTCAGTTAACCAGTTAAGTTTGTGTTTGAATTTAAGTGCATGCTGAGTGCACAAGCACTTTGAGGCATGTTAATACACCTCATTGTGTCTTTAGTTTGGAGCCCTTATTTTTATATGTTGTTCAGCTGAGGTCCCCATTCTCAGTCCTACTGGTTGCTACACCACCACACCACCAGGTCTGGGTATTCTGGGTGTTACAGGCAGAATCTGTAAGACTCACAATTCTAGTTTTTTGTTTAACTTTTTTGTAATACATACAGCAGTTGTTGGAAATCTGAGCAAGAATTTTGAATTTTGTAAGACTTTTCTATTATAAGGCAGAGGAACATTATTTTTAAGAGAAAAATGCACCTACAGGTCTCCTTCTACTCCTGTGGTTGTTCTTTGAATGTCTGTTTTATGAACAAAAGTATTGGCTCACACAGCAGAGCTGCCCAGTGAACTACTGTTAAATAAATATACATTAGGAGCAGGCAGACTGCAACATTTCAAGGTGGCCACATAGCTTACACTACATTAAAAAATTAGAGTAAGTTAGATTTATATTTTTGTGGAATGTATGTTGTCATTGATATGAACTAATGGTTTGCAACTGCTGTCTTTCCATGTGATGACAAGGAAAAAATGCCAGATGAAAATTAACATTATATGAGATTAACATTATATGAGTTTATATTGATGGCTGTTAGGATTTTGTGGTTGTCTTTGTAATGGTGATGCATGTGGTTATGGTGACACTTGTACGCAGAAAACTAACTGAACACTGGCTTTAAGGTTACCATTGATGGATATTATGCTGTCACTGAAAGAATGTCTTCTCTATATAAATTTGGCAAAAGAGCTTGGGAAGGTAAAGCCCTAGTAATTCCACCATTCTGAATTGATTTTTTGCCAAAATAACAGTCTCAGTATATGTACTTTAGGCTCTGTGGATTCTTACATATAAACTTACAGTCCTTTCATAAATGGAGGAGGATATAGTGGGCAAGAAAGCTATTGTGGATGAAAATCATGTCAAGTATTTATTTCAACTGGGATTTTAAGAAGGTTTAGCTGGATTAGGCACAGGCAAAAAGCCTCTTTGTTCATTCTTCAGGCTTTCAGGGTGGTTTTATTTTCTGGCATTAATGTTTATTCATTCTGTGCAGGATAAATGCGGCTCAGGTGTTTGACAGCTCTCTCTCAGTTCATGATCAGTTAAGTTTCCATTGCTGCTCATGCCTGTTAGTGAAATGTATATTCATGTTACCCTGTTTGATGAAGAGCAGTGAAGCACAAACGTCTCCTGAAGAGAACCTTCCACTTGCAGTGAGAAGTATATTATTTCTGCCTGAGCTGCAAGGGGCATTTTCCACCTCTGCTAATTCCAGATTCAGTCCCATGTAGGATGCAGAAGGAATTAATGTCACTAGGGTAACCTGCTGCCTGGTTGCCAAAGAAATTACTGCTTTCTTCAAATTTCTTAAAGGAAATTCATTGGTAGTACAGCTCACTCACTTAATATCTTCTGTATATTTTGTTTACTAAATGCATCTATGTGGTAATTGTTGCTGTGGTGGGAAGTGGTAAGGCTCCTAAAGAGCTCATTTGAGGATTTTAGTCAAATTATTGACAAATGTGTAATTCAAATGACCATTGTTGTTGCCTAGAAAGGTGTAAACTAACATGAAGTGGGGCACCAGATAAATACTCTGGGATTCGAATCGTAGTGATATTAGTGGTGTGGCAGTTCTGTGCCACCTGCTTGAGCCTTTTCTGCTCTCTCTTCACTGGGAAAAAACAGGAATTGTTCCCCTACTGTCAGTACAGATCTTCAAATTCTGATACAGGTTCGTCATCCTCTTTTCAGCCTCATTAATGTCTTGATACCTTCATAATCTTTGTATCAGTTGTCTTCTCAGCATGGTATCGGACTGTTTCCTCACAGACTCCTTTTACTTGCTTCAGCAAGAGTATTCCAAAAGATCAATGTGTATATTTTCCTCAATTATGGAAGCTTCCTGATTTTACAAAAGTATGATCCATTAGTACTGTAACATACTACCTCAGTACACATTCCTACATATACTGCAGGCTTTCTTTGCAGATTTGACTGACATGTTTACAAGTCAAATAACAAGATTGTGAAAGTGTGTTTTACAAGTGACATTTCAGTATGACTTCGGATGCAATGTGTATGGATCTAACCCTATATTACTTGCCTAAGGATACAGTTCTAAAATTAAATCTTTTCAAGTACCAACAGAAACTGACAACTGCTTTTATCACCATGACTTTAACCCCAGTTCAGTAATCTTCATATACATTTCGGTAACTATTTGGAAGCATTAGGAACTGCAGCAGATTTCATTTCTGTAGGCAAGAACTATTTCCATAATTTCATACAATGGTATTGGTAGGAGATGGCTTTAATATTTGTAATGAATATACTTCTTATTAATGGTTTAATATTTTCTAAATCAAAACTTGGTCATGTGTTTATTTGCTTTATGTATGAATGTTCCTCTAGGTCCAAGACCAGAAGGCCAATTCAGGTAAGCGCCTGGAGATATCCATAGGATTTTGCCAGATTAGGGGTCTCTTCTCTGTACACCAGAAGAGTGGAGAGCTGCTGTGAAGCCCGTGGCCTCTCCAACTGGATAAATGCCTGCCCTGGCACCAGGTAGTACCAGATGGTTACAGCTCCTGAGGGCCTATGGACCATCTGCAGGAGGCTGGAGCAGCAAACTCCAGGCATGCTTTCCCTCCCTCCCTGTGCCCTCCCCTCTCTCTGCTCAGATTGCAGGGGTATGTGGCCTCCCATGGGGTGGGCAACTCCACAGACACTCACAGACTCTTTTATATCACAAAAATCCCCGGCTGGGGAACTGCAGATGGTTTTCACTCTCATTAAGTCTTTTGTGCAGCACAAAAGCACCAAGACAGGCCAGAGAATGTCCTGCTGATTTTGGCACCTAGGTTGATTCTTTCAGTTAATACTTTCACCTGCTGCACAGTAAACTCTTCAGAAGTCTTGTGAAACATTACAGTTCCATCCCATGTGAATGCTCTTCCAGTTGATCCTTTTTATGCTGGGCTTTTTAATGGTCATGGCAAAGAAACTCTTATTTCGGGTATTCAGCTTGGCCCACTGTCTTACAGAGAATTGATTTGCTGGGAAAATACAAAATCTTCATACAATATAGGACAGCATTTCTTGCCTTTTAACGCTTCTAGCTGTTACATAGCAAAGTTTCCTTCTCAAAGGGCATTTTTCTTCACACACTCTACTGTTGATCACACAATGTTAGACCTTCAGTAATTATTCATCAGGTTCTCGTTTGCTGTAAATGATAACCAAAAGGAAGAGAAAGGAGATGGGAAGTTCTGGAATATTGCTTTATTTTCTTTAGTTACTATTTACTGAAAAGTAATATTTTCCTTTTTCTGTACTTGTCTCTTAAGTATTTCATAGACTCATAGACTACCAGGTTGGAAGGGACCTCAAAGATCATCTAGTCCAACCTTTCTAGGCAAATCATGACCTAGACTAGATGTCCCAGCACCCTGTCCAGCTGAATCTTAAAAGTGTCCAATGTTGGGGAGTCCACCACTTCCCTGGGGAGATTCCAATGGCTCATTCTTCTCATTGTGAAAAATTTTCTCGTGTCCACTTGGAATCCCCCCAGGAGTAACTTATGCCTGTTACCCTTCATCTTTTCCATGTGACTCCTTGTAAAAAGGGAGTCTCCACCTTTTTTAGCCACTGTTTAAATACTGGAGCATGATTATAAGGTCTCCCCTGAGCCTTCTCTTTAGGCTGAACAAACACAATTCTCTCAGCTGTTCCTCATATAGCTTGCTGGTCTTTGGATCATCTTTGTGACCCTTCTCTGGACCGTCTCCAAACTCTCCACATCTTTTCTGTATAGTGAGAACCAAAACTGAACATTCCAGGTGTGGCCTGACAAAAACCATGTAGAGTGGGATAATGACTTTGTTATCTCTGCTGCTGATACCCTTGTTGTTGTAACCCGGCTTCTTGATGGCTTTCTTTGCCACAGCAGCACACTGCTCACTCATACTGAGCTTGCTGTCCACCAGGACCCCCAGGCCCTTTTCCACAGAGCTGCTCTCCAGCCCTGCAGATCCCAGCCTGTGCTGCACTCCTGGATTGTGTTTACCCCAGTGCAAGACCTTACACTTGTCCTTGCTAAGCTTCATAACATTCTTGTTAGCCCACTCTTCCACACTGTGTGGGAATTAAGTAATGCTTCCAGGCAAAATATATATTGCTTTTTCATACTCATGTCTAATGACTTGTATTAAAATTATGCATAGAATCATAGAATAGTTAGGGTTGGAAAGGACCTTAAGATCATCTAGTTCCAACCTCCCTGCCATGGGCAGGGACACCTCCCACAAAACCATGCCACCAAGGCTCTGTCCAACCTGGCCTTGAAACCCCCACCAGGGATGGAGCATTTGCAGCTTCCCTGGGCAACCCATTCCAGTGCCTCACCACCCTAACAGTAAAGAATTTCTTCCTTATATCCAATCTAAACTTCCCCTGTTTAAGTTTTAACCCTTTACCCCTTGTCCTATCACTACAGTCCCTAATGAATAGTCCATCCCCAGCATCCCTATACCCCCCTTCAGATACATCTTCTGTTAAGTTTCCAATGTCCAAAGTTAAAGCAGCTGAAAATCCCTTTTTAAAGAGGGTGCATCTGTGTGTCAGTGTGTTACAGGTTCTCATCATATACAGAATTTTAAGGGCATTAATCAGAAATTTTGGATGTCCAATTTATTTTTATGGTAAAGATTTTTAGTTTGTAGTATTCTGCAGGGATTTTTACTAAATAATTGATGAGGATGACTGAAAATTGATTTTCCTCCAGTGAAACCTTTTCCAAGAACATAACACATTCTTTGGAAGTTTCAGTATTCTAGTACTACTCCAGCTATTTTTAGGTCCTAATCTCCACGTGAGATTTGTATAAGTTTTCCAATTTTTACCCAATAATACCTTTGCCCCAGATACATTTTAAATTTATTTTAAATTTAAAATATTTCTCAGTCTGGAAAGGTGCTATGGTGTGTTGTGCACTGCACCTCTCTTACAGAACCTGAAGGCAGCAGGAATACTCACTTGGGAAAGCTGACTTTGTATGAGTCTCTGTTATTCTGGTTTCTCTTGTATTAACTTTTTGTCAAAGGAGAGATGAGGTGGACCAGGTGTGTGTGTGTAAGTAACAGAATTGGAAAGAGGAGAAAAGACAGTTGTTTGCTTCAGGAAAACAGTCTGGTTTTCTCTATTTTGGAGTCTGTTGAAGGTTAAATACACATTGCCTCAGGACATGGCTCTGAAAAGTTAGCCTGTTCCTTATTAGCTTAGTGTCTGTAGGTGTGGAAGCACCCATGAAAACAGACATAGCAATTCCTCTGTGAAATGTCTTTGTTTTCGAGTGTGTACACAACTCTATGCAGTTACAGCCACAGCCACGTCTGGGGAACATAGAACAGAATCCTAAATCATACCAAAGACAGCGCAGCTGTTAATAAGGAACTGTGGATGTAACCTCACATGTGATGTGAATATATCAGAAATAAAAGCACAGAAATGAACAGTTTTGTAATTACTCTAAAGCAGTAGTGCTGATTTCCTACAAATACTTCCGATTATACTGTTGTTGTGATCGCTTCCACTTATGTCTTGGAGAAAGTTGAGAGGATTTAAAGCTTCATATGAAGTAACATTTTTGCTCAGTGGAAATAGGATTCTTCTAGCATGGGTGCAAGAACATTCTCAAAACACATTTTGAGGGAAACATGAAAATCCAGTGTATCATTTACATAGTTTTTTAAATTGACAGATGAGAAATCTTAATTTAGTCTGCACTTGTGTCACACCGCCAAAGGGCTTTTGCAGCTTCCAGATCCACTGAGAATAATTCATTAGCTAGTGGTTTTCATCTTCTCAGTTTCTCATCTTCTCATCATAAAAATGTCAGGATAACCAAAACCAAAGCACAAATAATTATAAATGTTATGAAAGTCTTGGCATTACACATCCTTCTTTCTCTTTTCATCTTGTTTCAGAAAGTAAAAGAGGCATTATATTGTCAATGCCAAAGCAAGGTAGTGCTGAAGAGAGAGATGTATGTATCTAACAATGCCCAAGTCACCACTAACCTCTATATGATCATCCAAATCTGAGCCTTTAATGAAGTCCAAACAGATTTATTGCAGTCCTGTGTCAGAGTAGCACTCTTCTAGGTGTAAAGAGTCAGGGAAAATACATAGATGACTGATCAGTTACACACTAGGTGTGTTTAAACTATATTGTGTGTGCCAACCTGTGCAAGTCACAGAAAAGAACTGAAAAAAGGGTTTAAAGCTTCGGATAGATGAAAGCGTTGATTTCATAGCTTGCCCTACTTTGGAATACAGCCACATACACTTGTATCTGGAGCAGTTTGTCTGGTATCATACAGTAGGGCTGAATGGCAAATTCCCTCCTGCTGAAGCTGGACAAAAGTGCTGTAGGCTTCAATACAGAAAGGATTTCAATCCCGGGGCTTTGAGCATATGCTGTAAGCTATACAAAATTTACTTTGTATTTTGATACACATTAATTTAATATAGTTGTCAACTGTTTGTTCAGTAGAAATGGTGTCTACAGAAACCTATTTTGTTGCCCATATATTGGTAGCTACATATAATTTAGAAACCAGACGTAGGATACCAAATAGTTAGGATGGATGTGCTCCTTGCTTGTGGGAAGATTTTGCCTTCATGTGACTCAGAAAAGAAAACAAAGCATGAGGTATTGCCTCATAGTAATAACCAGGACCTGGATTATATAAGAGTAAGTACAATGTGCACATTTTTAAGGCCATTGGCATTACTGTGTTTTTGTTTGTTGGTCTGGGATTCTGCAGTGTTTTGCATCACTGGTCCTCTGATAATTACTGCGTGTATTTTAAATTTTCAATTAATTTAATTTTTTTTTTTTTGCAACCACGTTTTCCTACGAAAACATTCCTGCGTCCATTATGATAGACAAAGCGCAAGTAAAATTGCAGGAAAAGTAGCAAACGTGGAGCCGATTTCACCTAACTGTTTTCTAACGGACACGGTAACTGACACAGACAATGATAGAGGCTGGCTCATATTCACGTTGATGACACTGATAACTGTCAGAGCGAATAACTGCATGTGAATTAAACAAAGAAACTGGCATTTCAAAGCACATTTCAGCGGTGCTTTCTCATCGACAGCGATTAACGTGCAGCGGCTGCAGGACCGTCTGCCCCCCGATCCGCACAGCGAAGGCTTTTCACCAGCCTGACCGGATTTACCCACTTCGGGTGCTCGGGCCGGGGCTCGCCGGGCAGGTCCTTGGTCCCCCGCAGCCCGCTCTGGAGGCGGGGCCCGAGCAGCGGCCTGTCGCGGGGCGGGCGACATCCCGCAGCCCCCTCCCCCTGTCAGCGGGTCGGCCGCGTCCCCCGCGGGTGTGCGTGGGGGAGCGGCTTTGTTACCGGCTGCCCGGGGGGAGCTGCCCGCCCCCGGCGCCGCCCAGGCCCGCGGGGCTGCGGCCTCGGCCCCGGCTCCCCCAGCTGCCTGTGTCCCGCCGCTCTGCCGGTGACTGAGGGGAAGATGCCGGCGGCGAGGCGGAGGCTGGCGCAGGGGTTGCGGGCCCAGCCCCGGCGCTGAGGCGGCGCGAGGGCGGGGGGCGGTGCGGGCGCCCTTGCGCGGAGAGGCGCTCTCCCCGCCGTGGGCGCGGAGGGGCTGCCGCCGCCACCGGCGGGAGCCGCCTGCCGCAAGGACGGGGTGACTCCGGCCGCCGCCCGGCTCCGCAGCGGCACGGCACGGCACGGCACAGCGGGCGGAGCCGCCCTCTCCGGAGCCCCGCCGTGGGGCGCGGAGCCGCAGTGCGCGCCTCTGCGAGGTGAGTGGGCGCCCGTGCCGGGGGGACCGCCCGCGGGGGCGAGGGACGTGGTCGAGCTGGAGGGGCGGTCGGGGGCAGGCGGCAGTACACGGGAGGCACCGGGCCGCGGCGGGGCCAGCACGGGGCTTCCTGCGTGCGGCGGCGGTGCCGTGGCAGGTGCGGTTCCCCCGGCCCCCGCCCGCGGTATCCCCGGAGCTCGGATCGGGCTCCGCGCTGTGCGGGCCGGGCCCCCGCTGCCCCCGTTCCGGCGCCCGCGTCGCCTGCCCCGTCAGTGCGGGAGGCTCGGGCGACTTCGGGCAGCGGGCTGACGCGGAGCCCACAGGACGCCACTTGGCTTTATTTTAATCGCTTTTGGGCGATTTAATTATAACTCGTTTCCTGCCCGGGGAATGCGTTCGGCACTTGGTGCGCCGCGTTTCTTTCCTCCGCTCTGTTCTCTCGCCATTTAGTGTATTTATTTATTTATACATAGGGCTGTTCTCCAGATTTCATATAGCAGTGTCCGTGGTGGGCAGGAAAGATCGCTGCAGATTTCAAGCGTGTTGTTTTCAAAACAGTGGGGTTTAATGTGTGTTTCTGTTCTTGTGTGCACGAAATACAGCACGATGACAGCGGGGGGAAAAGTCGGCATAGGTTCATATTCTAACCATTCTCTGCATTGTTTGTTGATGCGGAGATATTTTCTTTTCCTTAGTATACTTGTTTTATTTTTCTCTTAATCTTTTCTGTCACTACAAACCATAAGGGTATTCAAACACATCATTCTTTTTCTGGGGCTGTGTGATGTCAAAATAAAGGGAGCGTGGTGTATGTGGATGGTAATAGTTACATAATTTATTATCTCTTATTTTGTTGCTGGATATATGTCAAGAGCATGGGGAGAGTATTAATAACATCTTCTTTTTTTCCTTTCTGGGATGCTGTGTGAGGGAGACTTCGCACTACACTACATTGCACTGGAATGTTTGTCAGGAATTCAGCCCTGAATCCCTCCTGTATCCAAAATCCCAGCAGGGGCCTTACCTTGCTTTACACCATGAATGTCCACTGCTGCTTCTTGTACTCTCAAAAACTTCTTGTGTACATTTATTTTCTTCTTCCTGCAACAATTATTTCAGTACAAATATTT